GCCATTCTACGCGTGGCTGAATTGAGAAGTCCTGCCCGTCGGCACCACCGGACTTGTCAAAAGTTGATGTAAGCGGCTTGGGCCGCCGCTGCGACCTGTATGCGATGTGATGATGTGTGATGATGTGTGGTGGTTCCCTGTGTCTGTATGTGCCTGGGAGGTGTGGGTAGCATCGCGAGCTTCAACTTTAAAGTGTCTAGTCAAGTGGCATGTGAAAGTCAAAAGAGCACGTGTGCAACATCATGTCATCTTTTGGCTTGTTTAGACACTTCGCATGCATCAATGGATCCTCCCTGATGCACGTTGCGCTGGAGTTGCGCTGGAATTGCGCTGGGTATATTCCCTCAATACTTGTCGTCGAGTTTTGCTTTGATATGCTTCCAATGAGACGCGAGCGATGACGAAACGTGCCCGAGGGCTTCGACCCAAATCCGTCTTGAACACCACTGTCCCCGGGCCCTGGAACAGCGGGGCCGATCCCCGACAGCAAGCATAGAGTGCTAGGATATCTCCCGGATGTAGGGAGAGTCGCCTGTTGAAGAATCAACAGAAACAGACTTCGTAGTAGACAAAGAACATGATAGTTCAGTGAGCAAGGTGTACGACTTACGCAGAGAATTTCACATGCAAGTCGAAAGATTATGTGGAAAGTGCCGCGCTTCCACCTTCTCAGCCAGACTTTTGTCTCTCCAATCACCAATCTCCCGAAAACTCCAGTGGCTGTTCCGCCTGCAAGGTCACGATCATGCTTCCCCGCCTCAGAGCCACCACTCTTAGATTCGATTATTGACCAGCCCTCGTGGCTCCGGAGAGCCCTTTCCTCATCCATCGTAGACGCAGCCTCGACCGTTTCCAAATTTGCGCTTCCCCGCGATATGTTGACCTCCAGGCACCTCCGCGTCTCCGACCCCAGAATGATCCCTGGCTTGGTCACTTCAGCTGGCAGCATGCTGCCATCTCGATTACGTTGCCATCATAGCCCCGTGACAGCAACTCCGTGACGACTGCCGGGATCCAGATCTGCTTTGGGTTTGGATGGAATGAGGGCCAGACGGTTCACTGGCTTGTAGGATACCGACTCTTGTGGTAGATGCTTGCCGCGTTCGGGCCTTTCCCCATACAACTGCACCAGCTTCGCAGTTATCCCAGCGACGACAACGCCCGCGTCTTGAACTTTGGTCTTGCCGAAAGGTCAATTCAATCTAATTGTGCGTCTGGGGTCTCGGACGAACGTCCTGATAGAGAGCATTAGCATTCGGGATTGGCTTACTCGTGCTTGACAATGCCTCACGAAATGTCGGGGCTGGGCCCTCAAAAGGTCTGTGAAAATCTGATTCCCCTACCACGAGAGAGTGGTACTGTTTTTTTAGATTGGCCTGTATCAGCTGTTTAAATCTTCAATCTTCCGCCCCATGGGGTCGAGATCACAGAATAGCTGGCGGTGGTCCCCAAATACCCGCCCTTGATGTAGCCGTCATTCTGAGCCCCGGTCTCGTTGGCAGGGGACCGCTCACACAGACTGTCGAATAGTCTCGAACTGCCACTGTCGAATGTGAACTGCTGCCCTAGATACAAGTACACGAACGCAGGGTTCTCTGCGGCAGGTGCTACTCTTCTTTGAAAGGGCCGGTAATGACATGATGGCCCGAAGCCTCATGGGTCTGCTTTTGTCGCCCAAGAGATATCTCACAGGGGCAAGCAAGGAGTCTTGGCGCCGCATCCGATGTGCAAGGTAGCTCATATCTTGTCGAGCATATTGGTTCGAATACTCATGGAAATTGACAGCCCAAAATTCCCGCCGTGCTTCAGATCTAATCTCTTGAAGCGGCTGCGGCAAGACGTTGAATCATTGACTTGACTACAAGTTAGCGGGGGCGTTTGTTCGGTCGATTAACACTGTTCCCAAGATACTATAGTGGCATGTGCTGTCGAAACCAGAAGCAGGGTCCGCAGTTGTGGTTGTTCCCCTGCGAGAACCGGACCGAGTCCCGAGCCTTCATGGAGGGTATTACGCGAGTGATACTACGCAGCCCATCAATGTACAAGATCGACGTGTCACACATTTTCCTTATAGGAGACTACTAGCAACATGTCTTTACAATCCAGCTTCCGTCATATACTTTCAACCTACTTGAAAGCCTCCGGTCACAACAGCCACGGAGACGAGATTTGATCGCAGTCCCCTTTTTTTAGCCTTTCAATAATTGAAAGGAAGGTTTACATGAGATGATTAATGTTTATTCTTCAAGACTGGGCGAGTCGAGGGAAGGGTGTTCATGCTACGCGAGTTACTCATCGAGTTCAAGGGGTACAGAAATGTGTTCTCCGGGAAGTATCTTCGTAGCTGCCGATCTGTCCCCTGCACGCTTCTCGTGACACTGGATGGTCGCACCTCAAGAGCACTCTGGGAAAACAAAGATTCTCTAATCGTATCGTCTATTTCTAATTGCCAAATGATTATGCTGATGCCTTGAGGAACTCAGGGCTGAAGGGGTAGTCGTTGTACCCTTCCTCTGTCTTGTTCAAGTAAAACGTGTTCCTGTTGTACTCGTTCAGTTGTATCCCGTTTTCGACCCTGTACACCAGGTCCGGGTTGGCAAGGAAGTGACGGCCGAAAGCGACGAGCACATTCCACTTCTGATAGTGGCCGTCAACAGCCTGCTGAGCCGACTCAGGGGTATAACCCCCGGCAACAATCACAGGGGATCGGTTGTCCCACTCCTCGAGGATGAAGTCTAGTGTCTTGGTCTCGTCTTCTGGGTTGTTGAGCATCAAAGTAGCCGGATCGCCGCGGGCCTCGACAAGGGAAATGTACGCGAGCGCCCCGTCGAGCGCCTTCAGCTGTTTGACGATGTGCAGGTTGAGTTCCTTGGTATCAGACTTGGTGGCGCCCTGGAAGCTGGCGTATGGCGACAAGCGGAGACCGACACGCTGGGTGCCGATTGCTTCCGAGACGGCCTTGACAACTTCGACAACAAGGCGAGCGCGGTTTTCGACAGAGCCTCCCCACTTGTCAGTCCGCTTGTTGACGACATCTGACAGGAACTGGTCGATCAAATAGCCGTGGGCGCCGTGAACTTCCACACCGTCGCCACCGGCAGCAATAACGCGCCTGGCGCTCGCGACATAGTCCTGGATGACCTTCTGGATGTCCCCCTCGCTCATCTCCTCGGGGGCCTGTTCCCGACCGTCCATGGGAACAGCACTGCTGGGAACGATAGTGGCCGCCGCGTTCGGGCGACGTAAGACGGATCAGCCGCGCGGCCTTGATCCCAGAGCTGCTGGAACCAGAAAGATCCCTTGGCGTGCACGCCTTCGATGATGCTCTTCCAGGCGGCAACTTGTGCATCCGTGACGAAGCTGGGGAGGAAGCGCTGGCCTTCTTGGCCTTGAGCGATGCCGGTAGCTTCGGAGATGACCAGCGTTCCGGGAACAGAGGCGCGGTCCGCGTAGTAGCGCTGCATGAAAGGCAGGGCAGCGTGGTCATCGCCGTTGCGGTATCTAGTCAAGGGGGCGAGGACGATCCTGTGCTTCAAATCTATGGTGCCGAGCCTGACAGGCTCGAAAAGACGGGATCTTGGAGTACTCATTTTATATGTCGGGGTGTGAAATTGATGGCGTTCTCAGTGGCAGAAAATGTAAAAGAAATGCTCTCATGAGATGGTCTACAAAAAGCGGCGACGGCCGTTGAAGGCTTTAAGCTTCGCGAGGGTGATAATCACGCAGTCTCTCTAGCATCTTTGCTCGATTGCGTAATTGATCTAGATTTATAAGGAACCTCGGTTGAACTACTAACTGCTTTGTCATCCCTCTCAATCTCCTCCCCACAACACGTGGCGTGCTGTGCATCTCGCATCCTTACGGAGCTAATACCTTACTCAGGTCCAGATCCGCAAGCGGATAGCCTGAAAGCGGTCGCAGAGGGGCATCTAGAGTGCTGGAAAGCACATGTTGAGCATCATGCTCTATTAATCATAGTACTCTTAGGTGACTTGCAGTAATGAAGGATTTCGAAATATGAATTTTGGTGTCTACGATATTGAGTTTAGACAATGTCCATATGATCGCGTGTTTTCTTTTGTTAGAATCTGCAATCTGTGAGGTTAGTTGGAGCTGTAGAGAGTATAGGGGCTCTGAATGGAATTGTTGAGCTTGGCAGAGTTGCCGACTTGCCTCCTTGATCCCTATCTATGTTGACGTTCCCCGAGTCTTGTATGATGCATGACTCCTTGAATCGTCATCAGAGGTCTGGGGGAGTCGTTAATACCAGGCGGTAGCGAACACATGTCTCCTCAGACTACATGCTTTCCATCAGAGCACGTTGATATAAGCTTCAGCGAGCCATCCACTAAGCTTAACCATGCGGAAAACTGGGTACTCGCCGAGATCTCGAACTTGGGGAACGGCATTCTTTCCTCTACCACATATTCTGAAGTGGGCAGAGCTTTACCCCTCCCCCGGATTTCGTTGCGGGGCAGAGAGATGTGGGGGACGGACACAACTTACCTCCCTTCTGATCAGGGATGTGGTTGAGCTTCGGTGCGTTCTGCTTGATTCACAGTATCCTTTGTCGAGCATTGCTTTCTACCAAGGAACACCATGATGTCGTAGTTGACGAGCTTGCCTGCGCTTCTGGCTATGCTATGATGCCACGAGTACAATAAGATGATTTCGGGGGTGTTATCGGCCATTCTAAGATCTAGCGGATGCCACCTCCGTGGTCAGGTCAGAGGCAGGTCAGGATACAGATTTCCAGGACTAGAGCTGGCAAAGTCGATAGGCTTGTCCTGGAGATGGTCAAAGGTGAAGATACTTCGCACCGAGATACCGCGCCAGATTACACCCCGGTTCAGTTCCAGCTGCCAATGACGGATTGGATGCTGAGGCATGAAGAAAATCCAATCATTTACGTGATGCCACCAGCCCCCCGCCCCCCTTTCACAGGCTCGGAATTGTCCTCTGGTCTTTCTTTTCCAGGAGTGCCACGACGCTGTGGCACAGGTTCCAGGCAAGGCGCTGTACAAAGAGTGGTTGGCGTTGACAGGGCAGGTTCCAGGGTGTGCCAGTTGTTCCGTCGCAGCTTCCTCCTGCCCTCACTCCACTTCGCGCGTGACAACACAGGCCAGCAAATGGTGGTCCCCGCTCAACTCCTGCCTGCGACCGTGTCTTGGTTGTCCACGAATCCCTCGTCTGGATGCTCTGGATGCATCGTAAACATGAACCATCAAAGACAAGCGACAACTCGAGCATCAACAGTCTATTCCCGCGCTCCTCGCGTTCGACCAAGTTCAACCCAGAGAGTCACGAGAGACCTCATCTTTACTATCCTACACATTTGGGCCGTCGAGGGACTCCGACTCGCGCCTTTGGACGAGACAGCACACACGCTCGCCAACTCGATGGCCCATATATGCTTCCAGAAGCAAATGCTGTCGCAATATGCGGGCCCCGCCAACAGGCCTGGTCGGAGCGATGAAAAGCTCTTGAAGACCCAAATGACGACCGCTTCCGAGACGCCAAGGGTATATTGATAGTACGGCGAGGCGATCAAGTAGCGAAACCCCTGGCTCCCCTGATCGCGCATAATGTAACCCTGGCCACAAAAAAAGAGCTGGGTCGCAACCCAGAAATAACGTCACGCAATGTCGCCGCGGCACCTGGCCTGGAAGCAGGTGGGGCGACGCTGCTTCTGTCTGCATCAGCTTGAGCACCTCCCGCACCAGTCACCACCACAACCAGGGTTGACAGCCTAGGAGAGAGGTAGGGTCGCAACACCAACAAACCAGCAAAAGCCATCGCCCTTCGATGTCCGTCTGCCCCGCCGGGCTATTCAGGTCCTATCGACAAGCGGCGATATATCCCTGGCAATGCCAAGGTCGATGAACCATGCACTCCATCACACGAGCCGCAATATTTCTTTCTTACGATCGGGGCATCAGAACGCCACCCATGGTATTCCCCGACTGCTTCGCATTGAATTCCCAAGCTACCAGTCGTTTTGAGGACCAACGGAAGCATCTGTCGTTCTGTGGAAGACCCTTCGCCTGTCACGCCGCGACTGTAGGGCTTAACGCTTGACGCTTGACGCGTCGACATGTCTGCGTCGGTATTCCGTGGCGGTTAATACATATGGACGACAAAACAAAACGGGCTCAAGTCACAGTACGGAACGGTTAGACAGGCGATGAAGCTAGCGCCTCCACAGCTCAGGGCTGGTCCACTACACTACCCAGTTCCAGCATGCTGGACTCAAGAAGCCACCAAATCCAGAAAGGACAGGGACCGAGGAAGATCATGACGGCCAGACTTCACTGTCCTGGGATCCCGGCGGAAATCCATTTTCCATGTCCAATGGCAATCCAAGCGCAAGTGCGATCTCACTGTGATTCGTCAGGGACCACGCGTTTCAAGAAGTGCCATTCCCGGGGCGTCAGTGCAGCACCATACACCCTTGGCGCATGCATCTTCTGAACCCACAACAAGGTCCGAGCTGGTCAGAGAGGGGGCACGGACCACGGGCGCTTCTTTGTTGGGCTCTGCTATCTCGAAGAGGGCCCCTTGATCAAAATGGGCCTCTGAAACAACGTCTCGTCAAAGGACCCCTCGGGACGGGGTTTTGGCCCCACCAGAGCCCAATTTTGGAAGTTCAGTCACAACTGGAACAGTGGGCCATGGTCGCTGTCTCATCCAGGCTGTACTGCCCGTGGCAACTGATGTTGCGGAGGAGAACATGGAGGTCACAGCCCATACTCATACATAGGCACCGCTCAGCGCCGGCCTCTTTTCGTCCGCCTCTCCTTACGTTCTTGATCTTCCTATTCTTTTCCATTTGTGCTTCTACCACGTTGGTTGGTAGAATTTCCTTTCTTGTTGGCGCCTGTTTTTTGGTCTTTCGATTCTTGGTGGTGCCCTAGACTCACACTCACCTTAAGCCAACAGCTGAGCTGCTGACTTGATTCATCTATACCGCTGGTTGATTTATCTTCTTGAATTCTCTATTCTCGTACTCGGTCACAGAGGGAGTGCCGGACCTGCAAGAGGTGTCGTGCCTGGGACGCAAGAGGATTCAACTGCAAGACAAGGCAGCGATCGTTTCTCGCCTACAACTCTTATCCAACATGGACGGAGCAACGAACAACGTCCTCCGGTTCGTCTCTCCATGAGCACAGACGGAACTGTCTTGGACTTTATGACTAACACTACAGACACAGCCAGAGGAGGAGTAGAAGGAACACTCCTAAGTTTGTTGGACGACCTCGACACAACCTGGCACGCCGCCAGGTACCGCCTCCTCAACCAGTTCCTACGGTACCGGGCTCCGAATCGAACAGCGACGTTACCGTACCCAGCGTCCCCGGCGCTCCCGACTCTGACTCGGACTCTGGAAACGAGGCTACTCAGCCGCTGCCTCCTGGAGTCGTGCCCCCTCCCGGTGCTGTGCCCCCCGGTGTTGCCCCTCCTCCTGTTGCTCAGGTGGACAGTTCCGACGATGGTGCCGATTCGGGAAACGAACAACTTCAGCCAGCACCTTTGCCGCCCCCAGGATTCCCAACAAACGGCGCTGCTCCACAACTCGGACGGCAACCTGTTGGTCAGATCCCTGGCGCACTACCTTTCACTACCACGCTCCCGGGCAACCCAGTGCAAACTGGCAACCTGCCGCCTCCGCAACAGCCGGCTCCTGCCAACCCCGATGCCGGCCGACGCCCGCCCTCTAACGCTGAGAGGCCGCTACCTGGAAGCATGAACACGATTCCTCCGGTCGGCGCCGTTCCGACCACGATCCCGCAGGCTCCAGCTCCCGTCCAGCCTCCCGTCCCAGTTCAACCTCCTCCCCAAGCGCAACCTCCGGCCCCTGTCCAACCTGTTCAACCCGTCCAACCTCCTCCCCAGGTTCAGCAACCTCCCCAACAGCCGCAGCCAGTCCTGCCCTTGCCAACACAGCTAGTGCCTCACTGCCCATTCCGTCACAACCAAGCGCC